TTATACTGAAACTTATACCTCTCAGTCTAAAGATGGTTCATGAAGAGAATTCAAAAGAATTATCTAGGCACTTCATATTGTTGCAATTTACCAACCAATCGCAGCGCCGTTCTCAGCCAGCGTTATGACTTCCTGAAATAGTTCTTGTATACTGAATCACATGTTGACTTTATTACAACTGATCAACTTTACAGAAGACGATCATATACTCCAAGAACTGAATATTGCAAGTGAAAAATTAACCATTCTCAACAGAATTGGCGAAGGAACATTCGGAATCGTGATGAAGGCAAATTTAACTGATTCTGCAGGTAAAATACTTAAGTACTGTTGTATTTGTGCAAGTAAATAGAACTTTTTTGGTGGTACAGGAGAGTAAATCTTTTGTTCTTCGTTGGTTTTCAGAAGTTGGTAGTAGAGAAGTGGCCCTGAAAAGTGTCAAAGAAACTGGCAATGGAACTGATGGTGAATCAACTTCCAGTCTCCTTAATGAACTAAAAGTCATGCGCAAAATTGGTAACCATCCTAATGTGGTGGATCTTGTCGGTGTTTGTCGTATAGAGGGCTCACTTTATATAGTTACCGAGTACCTTTCAGGGGGGACTCTCTTAGAATTTTTAAGGCGCTGTCGATCTACAAAAGGCAACCCATACGTTGACGTGAGTGAACGTGAGTTACTGTGTCTAGCACTGGGTGTCTGTCAAGGTATGGAGCATTTAACTGCATGTGAACTTATCCATGCTGATCTTTCTGCGAGGAACGTTTTACTAAGCGATCAAAGAATTCCGAAACTCACCGACTTTGGTCTGTCTCGCGATTTCAAAGCCAGTAGATTATTAGATGCCAAAAGCAAAGGACCCCATGGTAAATTACCTATTAAGTGGATGGCAATAGAATCTTTAAGACATGGCATATTTACTAAGAAATCTGACGTTTGGTCTTTTGGTGTTGTCATGTGGGAAATAATAACATTAGGGGGTTCTCCATATCCCGGTATACCCGCTCGTAACCTGCTCAATAAACTTTTATTGGGATATCGAATGGAAATGCCAACACACTGTTCCATCCAATACTATGAAATCATGAAAAGATGCTGGGAGATGGAGCCTTCGTTGAGAATTGGATTTTCTGATGTCGTCATGTCTCTACAAAATCTGGTGGAACAGTGTMACAGAGAAAACTACATACACCTTGAAACATTGTGTTATTCTTATCCATTCATGGACCTCAGTCCAAATAGCAGACACACATTGGACAATGCTGATAACAGCATTCAGTAAAACTGAAGTAAGCCAGGACTTTTTTATGTTCAAATATTTCTAACTTATATTTGTCGACTGTCTTTGTTCTTAGTCAGATGTTTCGAGACATTTAAATATGCTATACATAAACATATACGTTTCGCTATAGATATACTATAATTTATGCACATTGTCTAATTTTTTAGAGATTATTGAGCTTTATTATTAGTTTTATAGCAATTGCTTGTAAATAGTTTATCAGTATAAAAATGTAGTCTTCGTTATCCTAGCCATCAGTGCACTTGGTGTATTCGCTAATGATTCTGCTAATTTTAGAAGACCTTGATTTCAATAATAATGATCGCTTTTACATCATCAGAAAGTTAATAAATTTTGCAATTAGATCATCATATTATAATTGTAAATTATCTATACGTAGCTAGATTTACGATTGTATTTCGGGAAAAAAACTCAATAATGTTATTATTATAATTGCAAGTAATCGCTGTATCCAACCATGACTTAAAGATGGTATTAAAACTGTGTCCAAAAACTGTCATCATATGCCGCATGGGTCTTTTGGGACTGAATATATATATTTAAGGAATATAAAACGGCTGCTTATTTCTCTGTATTGTGATATCATAAACACGCTGGGAGCTGTAGGTCACGAGAGAAGCAAGCTTAGGAACACGAGGCTTAACCAAGTGTTTCTCTTGCTTATAGCTCCCAGAGTGTTTATATCACATGCAAAGATATAAGCAACCGTTTTATATTGCTTTTATAAAATATTTTTGACGATCTTGCGCAAGCGTCTCTGTCCTCTGAAATGAACACGGTAGCTAGCCAATCAGCGCGCGCGTTTTATTTCAAATATTTTATGAAGAAAAAAAGAAAGAAATTATACGGATGGATGGATGGATGGATGGATGGATGGATGGATGGATGGATGGATGGATGGATGGATGGAT